ATTCAGATAATACTAATTTAAATAAATAATTTGGCATAAGTGGATTTTATAACACAAAATGTTCATGGCTGTAAAAGAGGAGGATATAAATTTGTTTGTGAAGAAAGTGTTGACGCAATTTCTATATATATATTAAAAATAAAGGACAATGATTATGTCAATTAAGAAAATGACTTTCATCAACACGTCGCTGTGACACTTCATGAGTACGCTGAGGTCAAAACCCATCTGATCGTCATTAAGTCTTTTATTTAAGGCCCACATAATAAGGAAGTTACTTAAATTTAAGCTGATTCAGGACATAAGCATCATCAGTATTACGTGTTGTAAATGAAAGACACGCAAACAAGAAAAAAGAAAGTAATTATAATTGTTGTTTTTATAAATTTTTTTTAAATTTTTTTATTATTATTGAATTTTCGTGTTTCTTTATCGAAATTCTCTTTACACATATATTATTTAAAAAACAATCCAAGGAATAAAATTGTGTGTTATGTTCTATTAAATTTGTAATTATTATACAGGACGCATAATAATTACAAATTTTCTACGGGTACCGTCGAAAATTAAATACTCTCACTATTAAAAATATATATTATTTTTTATGACGATTAATCTTACTTTACCATCAAAAATTGCAAAAAAGAAATAAATAAAAAATAAAATAAATCAAATAAATAAATAAACTTCTATTAATTAATTATTAAATTATGTATAAAGCCTTTACAATGACACAAAAATTATTTTACATATGAAATTATCGCATTACATTTAAACAGCGTGTGAAATAACTTTTTCTGCAGGACTTACATGTTGACCCTTAATGGACAAATGTCGCCTTACAGTCGACACTGTACTATTACTTACTGGGTTCAATGTTGCCCATATGACGGCAATCTCTCACTCACATTGTAAAATAACAATTAACTTGTAATTAGTTTTATAATTGATATTGTAGTTTTACCCAATTATTGATATTTACTGATAATTATTTAATGGATAATTGATATTGTAATTGGGAATAACTACTATATCAATTACAGTTATGTGAACTTAAGTTATTACTTCCGGAGACCGTTAAGGGTTAATAGTTATGCTTCAATCTCTGCAGAACATAAATTATAAATAGTTCTGAGACTTTCGTCCAAGTTATGAGCAATTTCTGCTTTGGGGGTACTATGATTTTTTTAAATCTAAATGACGCTAAAAAATTGAGCCAAAGGATTGGTTTGTCAAAAACGAGAAACTAGTAATGATTAAAAATATTTAAGCTTTTTTATGGTTTTGTTTATGAATAATAAATTTTTTTGGAAATTTTTTTAATTAATTTTAAAATTATTAATTAATTTTTTAAACTTCAAGTCATCATAGAATTTTTATATTTACAAATTTGTCAATAAAATTTAAGCTTCATTAATGATAAATGAAGTAATGAGTAGAATTTGAAAATGTGTAAATGATTATTATTTCTATTTCTTTTAAAATTGCCTTAGTGATTGTTACTAAAATGTAATGAATAAGAAACATTTTTTTTAAATATAAAATATTAATAATAAACTTAAAATTACTTAGTAGTATTTATAGTTATCTCGTTATATTTGTTTTTAGATTGTGAAAGCATTTGTGATGATATAGTTTGAGAAAAATTTTTTTTGATAAAATTACAAGATTATGAAATTTATTAGATTTATCTTTATTTCGACTTAGAGGAAGTAAATTATCGATGCGATATTTTAAATTTTCATTTCTCAAATTTATATAGAATGTGTATGTTGATTTCTCATTTTAAAAAGATTTTATAAAATGTTTTATGAATAAGCGCATTCCATTATCTTTTTATTTTTCTAGTTTATGTGTTGTATTGTAATTTATTTCAAAAGTTGTGAGTCAGAACTGAAATTTCTGCCAACAACTAAAGAAAATGTGTTTAAGGCCTTTAATGAACAAGGTTGTTGTCATTTTACGTGTAGCAAACAAATTATTTGTCAAACTGACCTTTATTAAATGGAACTTACTTTTATTTGACCTAGACATCGTTGAATGTTTTCATTTTCAGTTTTATTTGTTTCATGAATGTTATACCTGCAATAATTCCTATTTTTCTGTTTCTATATTGAACTATTTCCATTTTAAGCCTTTATTTAGCTTTCTTTTTAAGTATAAAATTATATTTATCCACCTAAATAGTTTAATTTTTATCGATTAAAAATATTAAAATTTATTTCTGTTTGTATGCGTTTTCAAAGCGATTGTCTGAGTTAAATTATAATTGGATTCGCTCTCAATGGTCAGAGTTTTTAATTGCAATGGAAAATTGTTAGAAAGATAAGAAATTTTATTCAAGTAAATTTTGTTCATTTTTATGACATGAAAGTGTTCTGGATTTTGTTTCATAATCAGAATGTGAAGAAAATACTTTTAAGAAAATATCCTACAATGTACAAAAAAATGCTAAAAATTAAAATTCAGAATTTTTTGTGTGATAAAATTAAGAATAACTGAAAAAAAGTAATTGAATTTAATTAGTTGGATTTTTTTTATTGAAAATATTTTATCGCATTTGTGAGTTCACTTTCTTCGAAACTACATATTTCTAAGTAGAAATCGCATTTTTCTGCCACTATTTAAAGTGCGAGTCTCAAGAGGTTAATACGGAAAATAAAATAAGCTGTGAATGATGGTATTTTTAATGGCGAAAGCAAAATCGCATTTCTGACTTTTTTTTAAAATTTTTTCGTTTTATCCATTTTAACAGTGCTTAGTTTCAAGTGGTTGAAGTGCGTTTAAAAATGGCGTGTTTGACATTTTGATATATTGTGTAAAAAAGTGCTTTTGATTGATACTCTGTGGTTGCTTGCTCGGTTTACGGAAAGTGAAAAATAAAAATGCAGAAGTAAAAATCGTATTGGTTTTACTGTTATTTTCATCTTTATCAGCTCTTAAAGATTAATCCTTTCCTTATTAAGAAATTATTTTTTTTATTTTTTTGAACACTGCTGAAATAATTGAAGCTGTGAAATTGTTTCCTTTAATTTCAGTTAAATTACATAATTCTTCGTTCGTTATTGTACTTTTTTAAACGGTTAATTATATATAAATTGCATCTTCATATTTTCTTGAATTAAATTAACTTTTAAATTGTACGTATGAGTAATTAAATGTTGCTGTAAAAATTATTTGTTTCTCCTTAAAGCGTGTTGGTGTGTTTAATTTTATTTAAAAGTAAAATTAAAATAATATTCTTGAATGTTAGAAAAGGACTTCCTAAGTGAGTTGGTTCCCATAGCATTTTTTTATTATTTAGAATTAAAAGAAAATAATTTTGATAGTTCGAAAATGATTTTATAAGTACGTTGGTGCATTGTATTTTATTAAAAAAAAATAATTTTAAGTTACAGAAATTAGAAAATGATTCAATCATTTATAATCAATTGTCTGATTTTTGTCCTCTCCTTTTTCTTTTAATTTCTAAGTTGATGGCATGCAATTAGCTTAAAAATAGTTGTTTGAGAAGAATTTGTGAAAAAAAAGTATTATAAAGTGTTGGCAATCTTATATTTTATCTATAAAAAAAAAAAAAAAAAAAAAAAAAAAAAAAAATAAATAAATAAAAAAATATTCAAAAATGGTTTCTTAAGTGCGTTTGTATGTTATATTTTGTTAAAAAAAAATAAATATTTAAATTTAAGAATTAGAAAACGTGCCGTTTAAACGTTATTTAAAATATGTGCCGTTTATAGAATTTTATTTCTGCATTTTTTCCTCTTTGTTTTGATGTATTATTATTTTTTATTTAAAAAAGTTAACATTCGCCCAGACGTTTTTTTTACTAAGCATTGCATTATCAAACCCGAATTAAACATATCACAGAAAATCTTAGAAGTTTTTCTAATCATTCAAGTTCTTATTTGAAAATTTTAGATTAAGAATGTTTATCACTTTGAGGTGAAGTAATTGCGCAAACCGGCACTTCCAATCTCACCTATTTCTTTTATTTCAATTGTACTGAAATAAATAAGATTTTATTTGTTTAAAATTTTTTTTTCTTGTTATTTATTTCTGTTATCACTTATCATTATTTTGCGAATTTCTGCACCCTGGATTTGGGTGCAATGTGCTCATGTTTTTTTAAGTCAAAAATTTCTAAACTAAATATTTTTTTCTTAATTTTTTCTATTGTTTTTTAATTGTGTATTGGGTAGACGTTTCAAGTTAAAAAGCTTTTTGTTTCCTGAAGTACTTTCATCTTGGCATTCTTGTAACTCGCGTCTATTCTCACTATTCTTCGGCTTAAAACGCTTGCTGACATATCATTTTCATCCGAAATCACGACCTTCAACTTCTCTTTTATAACTTCCCTGTTCTTATGAGTGACCACTTGAGATCTTAATTATTTCCTTCTTTCTATCCACGCTCCCCGACTCAAACAACATCCCCTCCCTCTTACATCTAATACTTACTAATATAGCTAGAATAACACTACTTAGTGCTATAGATGGTTCAGATTTATGATATTCAGCATCCTCTTCAGAAATTGAACGAGATAATGAACTCTTTCACAAAGCCTTTTGAATGTCACTTATTGTAGTTAAATTTCTGAATGATATTGACAAAGAAAACTATTTCAACCGGTTTAGTTTTTTTTCTTTTTTAAATAATTGTGAGATTAGTTCAGAAATTGAAGAATGCATGTTATTGTACCCTTCCAATTGTTTCCCATCCCTCCCTTCCCTGCGGCAGGGGTGGCCACGGATTAGAATTACTTGAAGTGACGGGTGTTTCTAGCCGCGCCAGCCGCTTAGGGTGGGCCATTTTTAATGGGATCCGAGTTGCTTTTCCGTCCTCTTGGTGATTTACTAACTTGAATATTTCAAGCTGTGACTTCGTTCGGAAAAGGTGGGTGTTTGTGGAGGCTGTTGGTGTTGAATGATGTGTGCGATTCTGTTATTGTTGGTGTAGTGTTTTTGTTTTATACTGACTATGACTCTCTTGTGTTGCAGTGGACGAAGAACGGAAGATAAAATTAAAACTAGTGATAGGACAATTGAACCGAATAAGGTAAGTTTTTTATTTTTTTTAAAAAATACTGTTTTTAATTTTTGTTTTACAATGATTGATGTTTGAACAAGTTTTTGAAAACTCTTTCTTTTTAACTTTTTATTTTAATAACGAAAAAAAAAAAAATACTATTTACCGGACTTTAACGAATCTTTAGGAGAACTGATATTTCGGGTTCAAAGGGCAATTATTGCTTTCAAGTTTATTTTGTACTCTCGCACGTATTATTTTAAATTAGGCTTAATTCAGTATCTAAAATATAATAAACTAGAAAAAAAAGTTTAAAAAAATGTCATGTTTTTATATTTCTTTTTATTTTATCCAGGAAATTTTTCCAGGGGTTAAAACCCTTTTTGTAAATTATTTTTACGTTGTTTCATTGCATAAAAATTTTAATATTTGGTTTAAATATTAGTCACACCTTCTGTAAAAGAAGTATGCTTTCTATGCTCTGGCTGTATATGGACTTATGAGTTGTCTGTAAACGCCATTTATTTACATTAAATGAAAACAACTGATCTAACAGAAGCTATTTTCGCTTTCCATAAAAAGAAATAGATACTACCTATAACACAAATAAGATAATATTAAAAACATAAGCTAATATAAAGATATAAGAAGATGTAAAGAACATAAATTATCGAATTTATAAGATTCGAAATTTTCATTTGAATTATCTGCTTTTAAAAAAAAGATTGTTATTCTATTTAAATTTGTCGACAAATGTATTAAAAATCTTGCAGTTATACTTGTTTAACTGGATAAAAAAAATTAAATTTGAAAAATTTAGATTTAAATTTGAAGTTGATTTCGTCAAAAAATAGTAATATTTTATTAAAACAAATGTAATTTAGTCTATTAAATAAGTCAGTGGAATTGACTGGTCAATTTTGTTTATCATTAAATGTTACAAAACTTGGTATTATTAACTCTTTCACACAAAATTCTGAAATTAAAAAAAATATGTAAAATTACGTCCGGAATTTAAATTATTAGAACTTGTTCCGACATTTTGTATAATCAATAATTGCCTAAAGGTAAAAAATTTGACTTAATGAGCTTTAGTGTCACCCTCAACATATAGAATTTGGGAAGGACTGTGACTATATTCAGCATTCTCTGTTGAAAACAATTTTATATTTATTTAAGTATAAATCGATATTTAATTTCAATTTTTTAATTGAATGCAGTTCAGTTTTGTCAATTAGTTTATTGTAGGTTTATTTGCTTGATCAGCATCAAAAAAGTGCAAGGATGGTAATTCCATTTTTAAAATACAGTTGAGTGTATTGAAAAGAAAACAATTTTTTACATCGGGGGAGGAGAAAGTTACATCTATCTTGTGCGTTTCACGACAACCACTTATAAAGTCGTCTTCACAAAATATATTACTTACAGAAAGAAAAAAAGATTGTATTGGCCGTGAATTTATCTTAAAAAACTTTGGCATCATATTTTGTTACTTTGCATTTTAGTAATACACATTGCTAAAAAAAAAAAAAGAAAAAAAAAAAGAAAAGGAAAACTTGACATAAATTTTATTTTTCTATTGTCTGCAAAGTTATCGGTTGATAGCCCCCTTCCGTAAATCATCTTGGCGATCGAATGACAGCTTGCAGTTTCTGATATCCTTAAGTCTGGAAAAGAGGGTTCTGTAATAACAAGTGGTTGCGCCATGACTCATTTCGTCCAGGATGATTTGACATACGGTTATCGAGGTTCACGCATGGCATCTACGTATGGTTCCCATGGCAACGCGGTGGAACAGGAAGATCTTTATAGGATAGACTTCCCATCCTTTTGGGATGATTTCAAAGGGAACGAGAGATGGGTATCGGTTTTGGGGACCATGAAAGCGAAGCCATATTTGTGAATACAGTTATGATGGACGTCTAATATCGTCTCGTAGGGTGATGATATTGAATATTTGTGATCGTATTATTATTGCATGTCTGGTTGGTAGCTTTCCAAAAAAGGGATGGGTGGGTGTTTGTTTATTATTTTGTTGAAGAAATTATCCTTCCGCTCCTTAATTTCAATACATCTATTTTTTAAATTTTTATTTTATTTTGAATGAACACACAAAGTTATTAACTCTCACAGAACATTATTTTTATCCAAGCTAAATAAAATTCAGAATTTTCTGTGAAATCTCCCCTTGATCAAAATAATCTCTTTTATTTTATAACCGCCGTTGAACAGTCTACGCAATTTTGGATTACGACTGCTAATGTTCAAGTCCTTAGCCTTGTGATTTTGAATCCTATCCAGAAGACAAGGATACTCCTGGATCAAGTAATGGGCCGAAATTTGCCTTCGTGGAGGACTTTTCGATGGAACTAACTCGCATTTTCGTTTCATGGATAGGAAAATCTCCCACGGTTAACCTGACGGCTAGGGGGGCTCGATCCGATTACCACTGAGGATATTTTAAGTCAGCATCGACCAGCCATCCCTTCGATTCGAACCATGTTCGTTCACTTCATTGGAAAGCGAACGCCCTATTCCCTGAGCCAAAAGTGATCCCACTTTGTTCGTTGTGATTTGTTTGCTCAAAGTTTTGGATCCTATGTTATTCAAGTTGCACTGAATCATCCCCCTCTCAAGATTTAGCTTGTAACGTCTCTTTTTCGACTGATTTACGTATTATCATGTGTATTTTACATAATAGGATGCATTAATCATTTTTTGGACAAAGGGCTAAAATATATTTTTTAATATTTTTCTTACGGCCAATGTTTAATACAGAAATGAATAAAAGTAGTTTACCAAGCAAGTGTTAATGTATAGTAGTTTACCAAGCAAGTGTATATTGTATTTTGCATTGCATGTTTTTGATGAAAAATTGAGAAAAAAAAGTGTTGAGAATAATAAGCGGCAGTGTAAGCATTAAACTAAGGATATTTTCGGAAGCATGTAATCAACTGAATGCTTTAAAAAATATCGTTTGAGAAGTTTTTTTTTTAGTCATTATATCGTCTCAGATATTTTTGTTATAAAAATTGGGATTTTTTAATAGGAATATAAAATATTTTTCTTTAATTAAAAGAATAACGGTGGTTACATTCTTTCAAATTACATTCGTTAATACATAAAGTGTGTGCTTTTTATTAACTCTTAAAAAAGTCATGTAATTTTCATTTCCTAAAGAAATACAATAGATATGGGTGTTTCATCATTTTAAACACAACGATCATTTTTTTCGAATTTGAGTCAATGTAGTAACCCAATTTATGCTCGCCATTTTTTCATGGATTTGACTGCTCACTTTCTTTCCAAAAGAAGTTATGAGTTATAATGAACAATTAAATATTAAAAGAAGTTATGAAATAATAACGAACATATTATTAATAATAAAAACAGCAGTGTCTTTGTATGAATGTGATTATTTACACTAGATGATTCATATCGACCATCTTTAATATATATATATATATATATATATATATATATNTCAAAATTATTTTTAAACAAGTTAAAAGCAAAAGCGATGTTATTACCTGACAAATGACAGAAAGGCGGGAAAACATAAAAATCAATGTTATTATCGGTGATAACTTGAAAGTGTTTCTAGCAATAAATTTTTAATCCTGTTTCTTGCGGCAATCAAACTAGTTTTGAGCCATGGTGGCTCAGGGGATAGAGCGCTCGCCCCCCAATGAGGTGACCCGGGTTCGATCCCGGCGATAACTGTTCGATTTGAATTCTGCACCCGGCTCGCATCGACCACAGTGCCGACGTAAAATATCCTCAGTGGTAGACGGATCATGGGTTAGAGTCCCCTTCCCGACAAGCTAACCGTGAGCGGTTTTCGTGATTATCCTCTCCATGTAACGCGAATGCGGGTTAGTTCCATCAAAAAGTCCTCCATGAAGGCAGAATTTTTCCTAATGCTTGATCCAGGAGTTAATCTCAATACTAATCTCAATACTTGTCTTCCGGATGGGGCTCAAAATTACAAGGTCACGGAGTTGAACATTAGTAGCCGTAAACCTAAATTGGGTCGACTGTTCAGCGACGGTTATAAAATAAAATAAAACTAATTTAGGTGTGTCGTGCACCCCCTTTCATAACTGTGCATTCGTAAAATTTTAATTGCGTTTTTGATTTTTCCTGGCATTAATANTTTTTTTTTTTTTTTTTTTTTTTTTTTTTTTTTTTTTTGGTATTTAACAAAAATTCAAAATTATACATTAAGTGTAATCTGTTATTTTTAGATACCAAAGAGTTATTAAAATACCTCTATCAGAGGATTTGTTTTTCTCAGATAAACACAACACCCACGATTAAATTTAAAGATTTTTTTGAATGAAATTATGATTATATTTTATACCTTATACCACCTGACAAAATATTTCTAAAATTTTTTTTTATTTTTTTTATTATCATTGTAAAATTTTTGTTTTGTCATGCATATTATTTTCAATCTTAAAACTGCAATTGTTTGTTTGGAGTTTACACTTCGTTGAATTGGCAGGCTTTTAAGTTTCTTTTCACACTTCATTGAATTAACAGACTTATAATTTTTTTTTATCTTGTTCGGATAAGTCCAGATATTTCGAAGTAAAAGCAATTACGATACAAATTTCGAAATAACAAAAAAGAAACCGCTGCCAATGACGCTGTTTTCGGTGTTCAATTTAACGTTACATTTTGCATTGTTGCGCTATAACTAAAAGACTTAGAATTTTGAAATTACTAAGGTGTGTAGGAAAGTGTATAAGAATAAAAAAGAATAACATTCGATAATTTGTTCGAGAATTAACTAACTCGTTGAAAAAAATACCATACGGTCCGCTCTACAGGTCGCAGGAATGCATCTACAGACTTGAAATTTGTCACGTTGAAAGAGCCACGATTTAAACTAAACACGGAGTTTGTTTTTCAAAATTCTAATTTGTTCGAAAGTTATTAAAATTTTAAATGCTGTTTTGTGAATTTTTTTTTATCATTTGTTTTTTTTACGGTACATTTTGCTTTGCTGCTCGAAATCTATAAGG